GTAATCTTTATAAAAAAAATTAAGAACAATTGTAACTGATAAAAATGCAGCTTAGACATAAAGCACAAGAAGTTACCAGATAGAAATAGCAAAACCCTTCAAATGGTATATTCAACAGACCAAAAGGACCAAATAAGAGAAGTTCATTGTCAGGGTTTACATCCTGAACTCCGGCCTCCCCTTCAGGCTTGCACAGTTGTACCGGTGATCGATCAAAACTACGAACTTATCGAGTTGTGGGACCGCATTACTTCCGGTTTCCTCACAACTACGAGGTTTTTAGACAAAACATGTTGTGCACGAGCGCCATCCACGGCATTGCCCTATAGACATAGACCACAGCAATAAAGTAATAAAATGATGTAGGATGACACTAAGCCAGCGCGTTCTTTATCTCAGGTGCCCCACTCAAGCGGCGGCCATATTGAGTGGGGCACCGGAGATAAAGAACGTGCTGGCTTACTGTCATCCTACATCATTTTATTACTTTATTGCTGCGGTCTATGTGTATAGGGCAATGCCGTGGATGGCGCTCGTGCACAACATGTTTTGTGATCAAACATCGTAGTTCTGAGGAAACCGGAAGTCATGCGGTCCCACAACTCGATAAGTTCGCACTTTCGACACATCACCGGCTCTTCTCCTGGATTGAATTGGCTTCTTCTGATTTCACTGCACACTGAGAGCTTCTCACAATGTACATTAGAAGCTGCAGCAAGCCAGATAGACCCCGCCTCATTTCCTGGCTGAAGGATGTCCAGTATCATCTAGTCTTTCCTCCCCAGCCTGACTGTCCCTGGCCAACCTCTTTCATTCATTGGATTTTAGTTCTTTCAATAATAGAGGCTCAGCATCAGCATGTGGGTGTTACCGAGGGTGGTCTGCATGCAAATGCAGTCTGCCCAGAAACACCCACCCCTCCAGACTGACACCCACCCATCAAGGCATTTTGATATTTGCATAACTCCTCCCAAGAGCCAGCCCACATTTCAGGGCTGAGGTCCCATGAAAGTAGTACTGGACATGGTGCTCCAT